TTACCATGGTTATAATTATATCTTACGGCAGTTTCCCTACCCTCTCCTGCTCAAGACTGGTTAATTTCTCCATCATAAAAAGAGGGGTTCTTTTATGGGACTAAGTGTTTTGTGATGAGTTTGGTTTGAGTTTTACCAGCCTAGACATAATTCAGGGTAGCAAGCCTCCACGTGGGACCTGAAATCCGTTATGTGCTTAAGTGTGTGGGCAGGCAGGCAGTCTGAAAGGAAATGGCCACTCCCTGCAGTCTGTCCAATAGGAAACCACATCCTCCTTCTGCATTAGAAGGGGATTTTCTTTTTTTAATTTAATTTAATTTTTTTTTTTTTAAGAGACAGGGTGTTGCTCTGTCTCCGAGGCTGGAGTACAGTGGCACCATCACGGCTCACTGCAGCCTCAAACTCCTGGGCTCAAGTGATTCTCCTGCCTCAGCCTCCCAAGTAGCTGGGACTCCAGGCATGCACCACCATTGCCATATAATTTTTAAATTTTTTGGTAGAGATAGGGTCTCTCTATGTTGCCCAGGCTGGTCTTGAACTCTTGGGCTCAAGTGATCCTCTGGCCTCAGCCTGTAATCTCAAAGTGCTGAGATTACAGGCATGAGCGACTACACCTGGCTATGGGAGGAGATTTTTTTTTTTTTTTTTTTTTTTGAGACAGAGTCTTGGTCTGTTGCCAGGCTGGAGTGCAGTGGCATGATCTCCACTCACTGCAATCTCCACCTCCCAGGTTTAAGTGATTCTCCTGCCTCAGCCTCCCAAGTAGCTGGGACTACAGGTGCACGCCACCACGCCCAGTTAATTTGTATAACTTTAGTAGAGACAGGGATTCACCATGTTGGCCAGGATGGTCTCCATCTCTTGACCTCATGCTCCACCAGCCTCGGCCTCCCAAAGTGCTGGAATTATAGGCGTGACCACCACGCCCAGCCGGGAGGGGATTTTTTTAAACCAGAGCTTCCAAATTGGAGATAATGCTAGGCTCCTCAAGCCTATTAATGACCAACAAGAGATCAAATCTAAACTTAACCTACTTCTGCCAAGAACATTCCCCGAGTTATTGCCTCTTCACAATCCATCTCTTGGTAAAACTCACGGTTCTTAAAGTCATCATCCCACACGTAAGTGCCTACAGGAAAATAACCAATTTTGTAAAGGGGGAAGATCAAGCAGGTGCGGTGGCTCATGCCTGTAATCCCAGCACTTTGGGAAGCCAAGGCAGGAAGATCACTTACGCCCAGGACTTAGAGACCAGCCTGGGCGACACAGAGAGTCCTTATCTCCACAAAAAAATCAGCTGGGCATAGTGCACGCCTATAGTCCCAGCTACTCAGGAGGATGCCCAGACCTGAGCACCTACGGCTGTGAGTTTTCACCCCAGTGCTGATTTGCTTGCGATATTGGGCAAACAACCTCTTGAGATGAAGGGTTTAATGGTCAGGCTGCCTTACAAGGGAGAAACTGCAAGGCAACCACTCAACAGAAAGGACCAGTGGAAAATACTCTACAGAAATCCAAAAGCCTGGGGACATAGGGCCTCAGGCTCCTTTTTCAGTTTCTATCTGGAAAAGTTGAGGAGGGATAGTCTCTCTCAGTAGAAAGTAAAGATAGTGGCTGGGTGCAATGGCTGTAATCCCAGCACTCTGGAAAACCGAGGCTGGCAGATCACTTGAGGCCAGGAGTTCGAGACCAGTCTGGCCAACATAGCGAAATTCCGTCTCTACTAAAAATACAAAAAAAATAGCTGGGCGTGGTGGCGGGCGCCTGTAATCCCAGCTACTGGGGAGGCTGAGGCAGGAGAATCACTTGAACTCAGGAGGTGGAGGTTGTAGCTAGCAACTTCTGCACTCTCCAGCCTGGGTGACACAGGGAGACTCCATCTCAAAAAAAAAAAAAAAAGAAAGAAAGAAAGTAAAGGTAGCAACACAGCTCTTCGGTCAAAGCTACAGACCAGCGATGAGTTAATTCCTCAACTTAGCTTCTCTAAGCCTCTTTGTCCTCCTATGTAAAACAGGGATGATAAATAATAATACTTACATCATAGGATTGTTGGGAAGATTAAGTGAGAGCACTTACGACAACACTTGGTAAACGCTCAGAATTCAGGGTGGCCACGAAGTCTAGAAACGTCAGGGGATGCAGAAATGCTGTATTGATATTAATTTCCTTACATGATAAAATCACTTCTATGTTGCCAGACTTGCTGGCCACCCTGCACATCAGCTGACAGTTATTATTGGACAAATCACACTGTGCTAGGTGTTGAAAGACATCTCTGCCCAAAACTATGGTATCTCCCCTGGTGCCTGGAATTCCCACAGGATTTGCTTGCTTGGTATAAGTTAGAAGGCATTAAAGGCTTCTTTTACATGCAAAGCTCAACAAAGAAGGATAACATTAAGCCATTAAGAGTCATCAATACCTTAGCTCAAAAGAATGTATCAGCTCAGACTTAGTGTGGGGCAGGACTCTAAACGGCTCAGGTTTATTCTGAGGGGCAAGGATCAGTTGATGAGGGCCTGGCATACAGGGTCCTATTTGCATCAGGGTTCCGCAGCTGAATGAGGAAACTGTACCAGGGGCCCAGTACCATTGTGACAAATACCAACATTTGTCACATTGTGGGGGCCAGAAACTGGAAGATGAAAGTAATTCTAACTTCATCTTCTTGAGTTATCGCCTCTTCACAATCCGTCTCTTGGCAAAACTCATGGTTCTTTTTTTTTTCTTTTCTTTTTTTCTTTTTCTTTTTTTTTTTTTTTGAGGTGGAGTCTCAATCTGTCACCAGGCTAGAGTGCAGTGGCATGATCTCGGCTCACTGCAACCTCCACCTCAAGGGTTCAAGCGATTCTCTTGCCTCAGCCTCCCGAATAGCTGGGACTACAGGCGCCTGCCACCACGCCTGGCTAATTTTTGTATTTTTAGTAAAGATGGGGTTTCACCATGTGTGCCAGGGTGGTCTACATCTCTTGACCTCATGATCCGCCTACCTCAGTCTCCCAGAGTGCTGGGATTAGAGGCGTGAGCCACCACGACCAGCCCAAAACTCATGGTTCTTAAGGTCTCCATTCCACAACGTAAGTGCCTACTCTATCCTGTCCAGCTGCAAGAAAATAACCAATTTGGTACAAAGGGAAGATCAGCCAGGCGTGGTGGCTCACGCCTGTAATTCTAGCACTTTGGGAGGCCAAGGAGGGAAGATCACGTAAGCCCAGGAGTTTGAGACCAGCCTGGGCAACACAGCAAGACCTTATCTCTATAAAAAGAACTTAAAAATTAGCCAAGCGTAGCGTGCACATCTGTGGTTCCAGCTACTCAGGAGGCTGAGGGGAGAGGATTGCTTGAGCCTGGAAGGTCAAGGCAGCAGTGAGCCGTGATCACACCACTGCACTCCAGACTGTCTCCAAAAAAAAAAGAAAGTGGAAGATCATAGTTCGTCCTCCTTTTAGCACGGCAGTCCACTTTGACAGTGACATCAGAAGCCTTGGTGAGATTTCTGCATTGTAGCAAAGTTGCATTACCACTGGGAACCCCTCTCAGATACGGAGAAGGATAATCCTCCCCCTCCTTTGCATAGACTGTTAAGTATTCTGTTTTGTTTAATTCCCTAAGACGTCTTCAAAGGGTCCCCTAGATGTTCAGCCAGGCCACGCCTATGCAAGAGCAATAGACAGGGTGGGATCCCACGTGAAGCTGGAGCCGTGGTAATTACAGGGCAAAAAGGTTGGTCTGACGGGGTACATGGGGTTCTGTATTAGACATTTCATATTTCATGTGGACAAGTTTGATCCTTTAAGCTCTGAAAACACCCAGAGGGCAAACTGTCAGCACCATGCACAAGAATTTTGCCCTGAACAAAATGACCTTTGAGTTCTTAACTGGTTTCATATTTTCCAGGTCTCTGCATACATATTCCTCTTTGGTCACTCCCTAACATCTTAAATGCATTTATTTGCTGGTAGGGTTTGGCTCCCTGGCCAACAGCCACTGATTAACATCTAGTCTGCAAACCATGTAGAAATGTAATCCTTAACAAAATGAGGGAAGTTCCCAGCAAGCCAACACATTGTATTGATTTGCAAACTTCAGCCCAACTTGAGCATCCCTTCTTACTACATTACAGCTGTCTGTCTTCAGCGAAAATTCATGCTTGCCATTCAGACTCTAGGATCAAGCTGGAACTCTTACTGGTCACACCTTCAACAGGCATTAAGTTCCATCGTGCAAAGCACAATTCAAAGACTTTTAATGGGGCATCCATTGACAAAAATGGGACTCTTTCTTTCTTTCTTTCTTTCTTTCTTTCTTTCTTTCTTTCTTTCTTTCTTTCATCTGTCTCTCTCTCTCTCTCTCTCTCTGGCTAATTTTTGTATTTTTAGTAGAGACAGGGTTTCACTATGTTGGCCGGGCTGGTCTCAAACTCCTGACCTCAGGTGATCCGCCCACCTCGACGTCCCAAAGTGCTGGGATTACAGGCGTGAGCCACTGCGCCCAGCCCAAAACAATGGGACTTTTTAAAATGACAAATCAAGGTGACAACTTTGATTTGGAATATTTCTATCTAGATGTCAAAATCTATTTATCAGTCCTAAGCCAATACAGCATTTCCCTCAAATTTAAGAATCACACTGCGGGATTTTCTTTTCTATTTTTTATTGTTAGTGCTGAGAGCAGATATACCAACAGTCTCACAATCTAGGACAGGCCCTTGGGGACAAGCCTTTCTGTGTCCTTGGGTAACTTCAACACATCCCAGAGTTTCAGTTTCCGGGGGCGTGACAGAGAGGACAGCAGTCTACCTTAGAGGACCGTGCTGATGGAAAAAGCGGATTGATAGACGCCTCTTTTACTTACTCCTCCTCTTCTTTCACCTTTGGCCAGCCAGCTGGCTCCGAGGGCAGACATTCTGCCAGCACACTTCTATCTGGGGTAATGGAGAGCAGAGACACCTAATCCCCAAACTTCATCTTAGACACAACTGTAGTTTAAAGCCTCTGCCTTCATCGGAGCTGCTGGTGATCCGTCCATGCGGCCAGCAGCCATGCCGCTGCCTCTCCTTCCCCTTCTTCGCAGATGTGCGACGTAACGGAGGAGTGAGCTGCCTCTGGACTCTATAAGGAAACCGTGCAACAGGGTCTGTGTCACAAACAGCCTGGACAGCCAGCCTCGGATGGAACTGACAGTGTGGAGTGCTGGCCAGAGCAGCAGTGAAGTGAATTAAGCTCCAAGTTCCATCCCTTTGTGCCACCCACAATCACATTTTCAGAACCCAAGTGGCAGCTCCAAGCCCCCTGATCCAATTAAGAGGCACAGCCCTCCTGTCTTCTGTTCGAAGAAAGGGACTGAGTGTCCCCACTTCCTCAACCAGTGAGCCAGAGCCACATTCGGGACTTCATTGTTCTCAGGCACAGCTTGTCACCCGAAGGAGATTGTAAACCTCTTAAGGAAAGGGTTGACTTCACACATAGTTGGATTAGTTGCTCACTTACTTGGTATAATTTATTGGGAGCTGAGAGAAAGCTGTTTCCTGCTACTCACCCACCATAGTCTCTGAAGTTTCTGAAGTTTCATTTTTTTTTTTTTTTTTGAGACGGAGTCTCGCTCTGTTGCCCAGGCTGGAGTGTGGTGGTACAATCTCAGCTCACTGCAAGCTCCGCCTCCTGGGTTCATGCCATTCTCCTGCCTCAGCCTCCCAAGTAGCTGGGACTACAGGCGCCACCACGCCAGGCTATCTTTTTGTATTTTTACTAGAGACAAGGTTTCACCATGTCAGCCAGGATGGTCTCGACCTCCTGACCTCATGATCCACCTGCCTCGGCCTCCCAAAGTGCTGGGATTAGAGGCGTGAGCCACCGCGCCCGGCCTGAAGTTTCATTCTTAAAAGGAGCCTTTCATTGGGTAGAAATACTGTCATGAAAATGCCTTCATTTATAATTTTACAATGAAAACAGGCAGAATAGCAGGAGTCCCTGTCATTTTGCAGAAAGGCCCCATGTAGCAAGAAGCGATATAGAAAGAGGGCGTTCCTCCCTGCCCTGCTGAGAGATCTTGCATGAAGCCCTCTCGCCCACGCATCTCAGGACATTCATCACACAATGACAAAAATCGCCCTCTCACCTCACCTTGGGGTCCGAGGAACCAGAGTCATCCTGACTCTGTGATTAGAAGACATGTATAAAACTGCCCTGGGCTAAAAGAATTTCTTCAGTTTCTTATGTCTTTAACAAATACTTTGGTATCAGGTACACGCACAATCACTGAGGCCAAGCTCCGTTGATGAATGCCTTCAGCAAATAAAGCCAAGATTGCGGGCCCCATCTCCAGTTGGGGCTCACTAGTGAACTCTGCAGAGGAGAAAAACTCCCCAACTTCACCTGTCTCATCCGACCCCAAGAGCCCTTCCCCCTGCTGTAACCTCTAAGCTGCATCTTTCTGCAGAGCGAAGGACAGCCAGCTCCTCTTTTTTGACAAAAGGTGGCTAGAGGATGTGATGACAGAAGCAAGAGGTTGGAGTGATGGCAGGAAAGGGCCATGCACCGAGGAATGCAGGCTGACTCCCAGGCGAGAGAAGACAAAGAAGCAGACTCTCCCCCTGGAGCCTCCTACGGGAACCAGCCCTGCCAACACCACGACTTTAGCCCGGTGACACTGATTGCGAGCTTCTGACCTCCAGAGCTGCAAGAGAATACGTGGGTGCTGTTGGAGGCAAGCAAGTTCAAATACCCATTCGTGAATGACAAATGTTATTTACATGTTAACGTGTTATTTACATGTTATTTACAAATAATATTTGTTATTTGGAAATAACAAATAACCATTTGTTACAGCAGCTACAGGCAACTAACGCAGATGCTGACTGAATGAAGGCCGGGGACTGGACATTGCAGAAGAGCGTCCCTAGAAGCTGAAGATCTCAGTGTTCTGTGGGTCTGTCCTTAGGCCTCTGAGGATCTTCAGACACATCCTGTCTGCCTCGCAGTTTCCCAGGACCTGCTATCTAACAAGAATCAGGGGAGACTGGAAGCCACTGTTTCTGACGGGTGATTTCAGTTTCTCCTCCGAAAGGGACCTACTTATGTTCAAAGCAGCATAACACTGGCCTTCATGTATTCAACCAAACCTATTGAGTGGGTCTTGCCTGCCGGCCACTGTGATCCTAGCAAGATTCTGGGAGGAGCAAAAGGGACCTGGTGCCCCTCCTTATGTTGAACTCCTGTTGGAGGCAAATTACTTACCCTTTCTATCCCATGATTTTCCTACCCATAAAATAAGGGGAGTGATCTTCCCACATTCCAGAGCTTTTCTGAGTCAAGGGAGAAAATCTCTCCAAAGAGTTCAACACAGAGCATGTGCTCATTTTACCCGCTGTCATTTGCCAAGGGTTTGATGTGTTACAAGCTTGGTTTGTTAGCCTCTGTGCACTGTGCGAGGCCAGCCTCCCAGCCCATTTTCTCAGATGGATTACTCTCATCGTCCAGGCTGAGTGAGTCCCAGCGGTTGCACTGAACAAATCCATTCCCTTGTCTTTCCAGGATGGCGCCATGGGTCTATGCAGTTGTCCGGAGTTCGGAGGTCTGGTTTTCAGAACAGCGACTCCAATCTGGAAATTGAGAATTTGCCACCGGAGGCCCATCTTGTGTCAAGGCACTTCAGGTCACTCTGGCACAAGGGAGCCCGAAGATGTTCAAAGTGAAGAACAGGGTGGTTTCACACACTTGGGTATCGAATTTATCCAAGACAGGCCAGCTCGTGTGCCTGGCATGGGAACAGTCTTCCTGGAGTAGAGGAGAGTCACAGAGCTCCTGACTCGGGATCACCAGGTTGGCGATGGAGGGAAAGCCAGGCAGCGTCTGCTCAGAGTTGGCTGTGCCCGTGGGTGGAGGCTGTCCTGGAAGCTGCGGGAGGTTGTGGGGCTGTGTGGGCCACTTGTCGCCCCTGCTCAAGCAGTCCCTGTGCTATCCTTGGCATGGCTGTAGCCTAGTAGACCCAATAAAGAGGAGCAAAGACTCCCCAACAGTAAGAAGAGGAGGGTGGCCACAGTTTACAAGGTGGCTTTTACTTAACGACCCCTTCCAGTTCATGAGATGAACTTTTAATGACCCTCAAAAAAACAAATGCTATACCCAACCCCATCCCATGCTTCCCCCAACCCCACCCCCAGAGACCATCAGGTTCAAGACAGCATTCGGGGCAAACCTTTCCTAAGACTGCACTGCACGTGGTCAATTCAACAGCAAGGAGGAAAACTCGGCAGCTTCTGCTTCATTTATTTATTTATTTATTTATTTATTTATTTATTTATTTATTTTGAGACAGACTCTCGCTCTGTCGCCCAGGCTAGAGTGCAGTGGCGCGATTTCAGCTCACTGCAACCTCCACCTCCTGAGTACAAGCGATTCTTGTGCCTCAGCCTCCCGAGTAGCTGGGACTACAGGCGTGCACCACCACGCCTGGTTAATTTTCATATGTTTAGCCAGGTTGGTCTTGAACTCCTGACCTCAAGTGATCCTCCTGCCTTGGCCTCCCAAAGTGCTGGGATTACAGGTGAGAGACACCACACCTGGCCCTTCTGCTTCTTCTGAAAAACAGTTTGGTACTTTACAGGTTTGGTCAATAAATTATTAACTAATTTTATAATTTTTTAAAAAAAGAAAGAAAACAAAACTTTAATTTTCTGGAAGTTTCTTATGCCCACAGGCAGCCCATCCCCAACCCCCTCAAAACAAAAACAAAACCAGATTGGCTGGTTTCCTTGCAGAGCACGCAGTAGTCTGGGCATTGTGCAACCCGCGTCTCTGAAGCAGGGTCCTCTTTAGACCTGTTCTCTGAATGAGGACCTGGTCCTGGGAGCCTCAGTTCCCCACACAACATCCCTTAGTTACACAACGCAAGGCCCAAGCACAAAGGCTTCTCCAGGTGTTTACATATCTTTCAGGCTCTTGCTGGGCACCCGGCCCTGCCACTAAAGTCAGGGATGAGATGAGTGGCTTTATACAGCATGGCTTTTGTTTAGCTTGAGACCTGTGGGGGTAGGGAAGGGCGAGGGGAGAGGGCCCACTCTCTAAATCCTGGCTCCAATGTGCAGCCTGCCGAACTGCACACAGACATGACAGGGGATTGTAAAAATGCACCACAGACAATGTAGCTAATGGACCAGCGTCCCCTGCACCAGAGCTCAAGGGCGTGTCAGGAAGTGACTCGGGGACACCAGGATCCAAACAGAGCATCCTAAAAGGAACCACTTTTCTGAGCACTGATCCACTTCCTCCGTTGATCCCCTTCTCCAAAGAGAAAGAGAGACAGGCAGGACAAGGAAAAAAAAAAAAAGACTGGACTCTGGCTATAGCCCTAGAATAGCCTGTAAGCAATTCAGGCAGAATTTCTTTACACAATGGATGAGAGAAATATGAACCAGGCTGCCAAAATCAGCAGGACAAGCAAGCCCTGTGTATTCAGTTCGAGAGGGGCCTGGACACATTTCAGAAAGAGCAGACTCCTAAGACTGAGACGCTGACTCGTATCCCGGGTTGACAGTCATGAAATACAAGTTAATTTGCAGTTCACGAGATAGCACTAAGGGCAGATAGAAGTGGAACTCCCCCAACCCATCTGGAATCTTTTTTATTTATATTTATTTATTTATTTGAGGCTGAGTCTCGCTCTGTCACCCAGGCTGGAGTGCAGTGGCAGGATCTCGCTCACTGCAATGTCCGCCTCCTGGGTTCAGGTGATTCTACTGCCTCAGCCTCCTGAGTAGTTGGAATTACAGGCATGCACCACGACACCTGGCTAATTTTTGTATTTTTAGTAGAGACAGCGTTTCACCATGTTGGCAAGGCTTGTCTCGAACCCCTGACCTCAGGTGATGCGCCCATCTCGGCCTCCCAAAGTGTTAGGATTACAGGCATGAGCCACTGAGCCCAGCCCCCATCTGGAATCTTTAATGGGCTACTCTCCCTTCAGGCTTTTCAAATACCCTGGTCAAAATTATGGGCCAGGCATGGTGACTTATGCCTGTAATCACAGGCACTTTGGGAGGTAGAGATGAGCGGATGACTTGAGGCCAGGAGTTGGAGACTAGCCTGGCCAATATGGTGAAACTCCATCTCTACTAAAGACACAAAAATTAGCCAGGCATGGTGGTGGGCGCCTGTAATCCCAGCTATTCCAGAGACTGAGGCACGAGAATTGCTTGAACCCAGGAGGTGGAGGTTTCAGAGAGCCAAGATTGTGCCAGTGCACTCCAGCCTGGGCAACAGAGTGAGACTCCATCTCAAAAAAAAAAAATAAAAAAAAAATATGGCTGGGGCTGCGAAGAATCCTTTCCTCAGAAAAGTTCTCAAAAAAATAAAATAAAATAAAATCTCCCATGAGTCTTAGAGAGTATCTCACTAATTACAAAGTTACGAAGCATGCTCCCAGAGAAATCAGAGAGCCTCACATCATCCTGTTAACTGTCAGCACAGCCAAGAGCGAAACCCTAGTTTCCAGACTTCTAGGACAACAGTCAAAACACGCTCAAATGATCAATGAGTGTCTCAGAATTCCAGAGTTTTCCGCTTCCTGGGCTCTTTGCAAAGCGTAGGGACAAGACAGAGCTGATGATGTCAAATCTGCTGGAGCGAGAGGGTACAAAGAAAAATGAAGATGTTTTCCAGAAGTTTGCTTCATTTTGAAGGGCGAAAGGTGTTGGTGTGCTGCTCTGCTGATTTAGATAATGGCTAGCATTTTGTTCTATGGATAAAATTATACGCCAGTGTCCAAATGTTTTCTTTTGGTCTTTTAATCTCTCCTTAGCTTGGAAGTTGCAGAGGACCCACCAATGTCCTCTGTCCATGCAGGATCACAAAAATGGCTCTAGGGGTAGATTTGGGGTTGAGGATGTGGACAGGGGAATGGAACAAGAGAAAATGGAGTAATAATACCTCTACATCTTCAAAATGTAAATAGGACAATTTACCATGAGGAGGAAAACATCCAAGGCAGGCAATGGATTGCATTGGAGTTTGTGGGTTTGAATTTGGGAACAGGTGTTTCACCAAACTCGAGTCACGTATGCAATATTTGGAAAGAATCTGCACCCTTCACACACTTTTAAACTTGTGAAATACCAAAATGAAGTCTTGTGATGAGGAGTACGCTTTAAAAACAACTTTAAGACCTTAGAAAGTTTTAGAAAGCAAGGGCCGGGTGCGGTGGCTCATGCCTGTAATCCCAGCACTTTGGGAGGCCAAGATGGGTGGATCCCCTGAGGTCAGGAGTTCAAGACCAGCCTGGCCAACACGGAGAAACCCCGTCTCTACTAAAAATACAAAAATTAGCTGGGCGCAGTGGCGCGTGCCTGTAATCCCAGCTACTCGGGAGGCTGAGGCAGGAGAATCACTTGAACCCAGGAGGCGGAGGTTGCAGTGAGCCGAGATCGCACCATTGCACTCTCCGGGCGACAGAGCAAGACTCCGTCTCAAAAAATAAAGAAAAAAAGGTTTAGAAAGCAGACGCTGATCTCAGAAGGTGAGCTCTGGGTAACCTTAGTTCCATCACAACCTGTCTGCTTAGGGACTAACCCAGAGGCCCAGTGAGAAGCTCACCACAGTTCACGCAGTTCATTTTTAAGAGGAACAACAAGGTAAATGTCACAAAGTAAGAATGACATCACTGGAATCTTGATTTCTCTGTTTCCTGATCTACCTTTTAAAAAAATTTTTTTAAAAAAAAAAAGGTCAACTTAGACACTTGGGTATTTGTTGAATAAATGAAAAAAGTGCTTAATCTAGAAGCACTATAGAAGCGTTTATAAATAGCAAAACTTTTCGATTCCTAAGTAATTTTTTCTATTTTGTTGGATTTTTAAATGTTTTAAAGAAATAACCCAAATCCTCAGATCTTTTCCGAAAAAACCCCATATATTTCTCAAATATTCTCCTATAGATGTGCTAATACAACAACTTCAAAAGTGAGGTCAAACAGATTGGAAATTAGTTAGGAATATAATTTACTCAAAAAAATTTTAGCAATATTTTAGATCTGCAATCTTGTTCTACTTTTCTAGATTAAACCCTCTTTAGTATTGCTATTCTACTGTGTCTTATAGTTTTGAAAAAAGAAAAAAAGAACCAAACCATTCTGGCCATTAAAATATATGATAATATTCCAAAGAATAAATTGAATGAGCCGGGCGCAGTGGCTCATGCCTGTAATCCCAGCACTTTGGGAGGCTGAGATGGGTGGATCATTTGAGGTCAGGAAGTCGAGACCATCCTGGCCAACATGGTGAAACCCCATGTCTACTAAAAATAAAAAAATTAGCTGGGCATGGTGGTGGGCACCTGTTGTCCCAGCTACTCGGGAGGCTGAGGCAGGAGAATCGCTTGAACCTGGGAGGCGGAGGTTGCAGTGAGCCGAGATTGCGCCCCTGCACTCCAGCCTGGGCGACAGAACTAGACTCCGTCTCAAAAAAGAAAACAAACAAACAAAAAGGATCTGAATCACTGTTATTATATATAGATATTTATATTTCACAGCTGTTGCATCATCTGCTAGAAACAGCTTAGAAGGTTCAATCCATGCCCACAACGATGAAATGACATTTCTTTGAAGAAGGAATGGGATGTAATGTACCTAAAACAAAACGTAGCTGAGATACTGAGTTTGGGATTTTTCCACGTGTCCCCCGCCCCTTGTCCAGCCCTAAGAATGTCAAGAATTTGAACTCCCTGTTCTTAAGGTGAAAGGGCATTAACTCAAATCTGTTCATGAAGCAAAGCGGTGGCAAACCTGAAGACATTGGAACTACGTGACAAAACCTCCCAAGTTAACCACGGCCAGCAATGATTCTTTCCTTCGGTGTTTCAAAAGTAACTGGAAACAACATTCGAGTTGTAGGTCATTAATTAGGAGCCAGAGAGAGCTCCATTTGCATCTCAGTAATGCGCTACACCTTTACTTCAACATTTAGCTTTAGGTTTAAAATATTTGCCAAGATAGCGCAGAGGCAATTAACAGATTTCTTTTAAATGTGTCCTATAGTTACACACTCCCTCCACAGGAAAAGAAAACTATACAGCAGAAGTTACAAAATGGTTATTTAGTGTTTCGAAAACATTCCAATAATCCCTTCACTGTGGTGTTATTCACTCAACAGTAGAAAAGCAAAACAGAAATGAACATAAGCGCAGCCGGCTCGTTTCCATCTCAAAGAGAACCTCGAGGAACCCGTCAGCTGCAGTTTGCGCCTGGGAATCTCAGCATAAAATCTTCCCAGTCCTCCTTCGATGGGCAGGAGGTGAGCAGGAAGACACACTGCCGCTGACTAGGGGACCCCAGATGTCACCCCAGCCCCAGGATAAATTCCTCCGGGCCGCATGTAGAACTCCAAATACTCCCAGTTTCCCCCAAAATAGACGTTGACCCTCTGGGGTTAGCATCGGCTCCTAGTGAATAACTTCACATGTCTGGTTGTTGTCTCTTTTAACTCTTTCTCTGAAATGAGCTAGAGCTACCAGATTATTCTAGAAGAGCTTGGCCACCACGTGGATACGATGTCATTTTGTAGTTTTAAAATATTTTAACTTTATTATTATGCTTATAATAGTATTCCAACAGACTGTATTAAAGGCAGTGATCACTAACACAGAACACGACAGGGTGAAGAGGCAGCCGGGCCGCTTGCAGGACATGGCCTGTCGGGCCGGGGTCGCTGACATGCACGTTGCTAGCTCATACACTGCTACCCTCAGCACAGGCTGCAGGAATAGGGACAAGATAGATGCTGCCAGACTCTTAGAAGCTATTTAATAAATATCATCCAAAAACAAAATGGAAGAGAAACAAGAAACCCTCCGAGCACAACCACCTTAGGCCAACTGAATGTAATCTAGTTTATTCAACCAACAAAAAATGTGAGAGAGAAGGAAAATATTGAAACAAAGGAAAAGAAGCATTCTTAAGACTAGCAGTAAAATTAAATTTATACAAATTCGGTCTGTATAATATAGTGATTTGGGGCGAAATAAATCCTTACAAAATCCTTTTCTTAATTTTGGGTGCTTTGAATTATACATACAAACAACAATTACTGGGCTTTGTTCCACAAGCCATGTAGGCCTGGATAAAAAAAAAAAAAAGGGGAAAAAAAAGAAAAAAAAAAAAAAAAAAAAAAAAAAAAAAAAAAGATGCTCTCTGAAAACCCTCAATGGCAACTGGTGAACGGTATAACACGGATTGAAACCCGCACTGGGTAATATTCCTTTGCAGAGGCCAACAGCTTTGAAACCGAATGATTCGCCACACCACTTTTTTCTTTTTTTTTTTTTTCTTTTTCTTTTTTCGTTTTTTTTTTTTTTTCTTTTAATGCATCAAACAAATGGTGGCCCAGTGAAAGGAAAACAAACCTGGCAGGTTTGTCCTTTTGAATATCAGACCTATTTCTTCTTAAATTTCCACACTCTATTTCCTCCAATATTCCTAAAACTTCTTGGCAATCCTTCATGCCTACACGCTACCCAGGATGCAATAAAGTCATTGTAACAGTATTTCACCTTACAATATAGTTATAGCAATGTTCCAGCATTTTTTTTTTTTCACAGCACTGAGAGACCGCCTGTTAAATAGGGATATGAGTCAAGAATGGCTTATTTCACAGATGGGGTCCAGATTCAGTGGTTGGAACACAGACACCCCAGTGGACTCCCTTTTGCAAGTGGCCAAACATAATTTTGCTTTCCTGTCCTTCAAAAACATATATCCCATCGCGTTTTAGGCTTCCAATGAATGCTGCCCTCCTGCCAAAAAAAATGCACGTCGAAGGGGGCTGCCAGCACGCTCGCCTGGGGGCCCTGCCAGCCTCCGAGCAAGGCCTCCTAACCCATGGCAGTGGACCAATGCTGGAGGGGTGATGGCGGTCCAAAAAGGACAGGCTGATGGCGGGTGCATCGGCGTGGGCGTGGTCAGGCATGTGGCTGGGAGTGCTGAAGGGCGAGATGGTGGCGTCAGGGAGGACATGTGTCT